TGTATTTTATTACCATTTTGAAACTTAAAAACCAACTAGGCACTAGTTATCACATGTATTAAAAAAAAAACTTAGTCTTTCTCGCAGCAGACGGCAAGACAAACAGCCAGGGTGCCAAATCACAAATTCGCGAGTCTGACGGTTGTCATGTGACATTAAAAGGCGGGAAATGAAATGTGGGAAATATAGGAGTGATAATGTGTTTTGTTTGAGGATAATTAAGTAAACTTTTAAAGCCATTTCAATAAAAGTAATCATTTATAACAAAGGGAACTTAAAAACAATCTAATTACATTATGCATCATAACTATTAATCCAATCATATTTAAAAAAAACTGCCAGTGTTTGTATGTAGTCGCATGGTTGTCGCTCAGTTCTTGCCCACCCAGCACCTGCACGTCTATGGATACTCTCCCGCATCACACTCGTGTGTGCGACCGGATTTCAAACCACAGCGCTTATGGACAGCGCGCAATCCAGTAGTATATATCGATGGTCATGACTCGCGGTCACGGGGTTATCGTCGTCATGACTCCACGGTCACGGCATGATCGTCGGTATGACTCGTTCACGGCTCGATCGTCAGCATGACTCCACCATCACGGCATGATAGTCAGTATGACTCCGCGGTCACGGCGCGATCGTCGGTAGGACTCCGCGGTCACGGTGCGATCGTCGGTAGGACTCCGCGGTCACGGCGCGATCGTCGGTATGACTCGCGGTCACGGCGCGGTCGTCGGTAGGACTCCGCGGTCACGGCGTAATCGTCGAAATGACTTCGTCTCCTGCGTTCGCGGACCTATTGCTCGCAATAACGGCGTTATCGGCACTCGCAAAGCGGAAAAATCGCCGACGATCGGACGAAATCCCGTCCCGAAAAATTCCCGAGTCAAATGTAATCCCGTCCCGATAATCGGGAATATTTTTTTCCCGAAAAATTCCCGAAATTTCGGGACACGTCCATCCCTAGAGAAAACTGGTCTAAATGGAAAACTCGTTTCTTGCGCTTTCATGCGGTATCTGGGCTCACCAATGAAGACGAACCATATCAGGTAAACACCTTACTATATATGATGGGCGAAAAGGCCGAAAGCATATTTGAATCATTTAATTTGACATCTGAGGAATGTAAAAGTTTCAAAACTGTTTTAAAAAAATTTGATACATATTTCGCTCCTTCTAAAAATGTAATCTTTGAGAGGTACATGTTTCATACTAGGGTTCAACATGAGGAGCGTGTTGAGAGTTTGATTCATGATCTTCATGAGATGGCTTCTAGATGCGATTTTCCTGCTTCTTATAAAGATGAGGCTATACGAGATCAACTTGTTGTAGCGATTAGAGACAAAAGTTTATCTGAAAAACTACAAATGAATGCAGATCTAACCCTTAATTCTGCTGTCTCAAATGTTAAGCAAGCCGAATCGGTTAAAATGCAACAATCATTGATGAGGTCCGGGTCTTCAGAACATGCACTAACTGCAGATAAAGTCACTTCAAGGACTTGGGGCACTAAATTTGCTCAGAAACCTCCAGTTGATTCCAAAGCGTCCAGTACCAATTACTATAATCAATGCCAGTGGTGTGGTAACGCTCAACATGAACGACCAAAATGTCCTGCCCGGAATATTTTCTGTCGAAACTGTAACAGGAAGGGCCATTTTGCTAAATGTTGCCAGTTCAAAAATGTCAAGGAAATAAATTCAAACCCTCTTCAAGATGAAGTTATTAAGAGTGACAAAATTTGTGGGGTCTGTTAATCCTCAAAAGAATCCTAAGGCAAAATGGTCTGCTGAAGTTAAACTAAATGGAGTATGTATTCAAGCTAAGATAGACACTGGAGCTGACGTTTGTGTCTTGTCCCAATCACTCTATAAATTGAAATTATTTATGTACCCACTAAATTCAAGTAACAAAGCTTTAGTTGGGCCTGACGGATCCGTCCTTAATATCTTAGGCGTATTCGAGGGTACAATCCAGTACAAGAATCAATATTGTAAGTCTCAGTTTTATGTAATATCTGGTGCTGATAGAACCCTTTTGAGCAATGAAGTTAGCGAAAAATTGGGTCTAGTTAAAAGGATGTTTCGAGTCAACTCAACTGGCTCATTTGATCCCTTTACATCATACCCTAAACTTTTCAGCGGTCTTGGTGATACACAAGCTCATTATAATATAAAATTAAAGCCAAACGCTGAACCGTACTCTCTCAAAGTTCCAAGGCGTGTTCCCCTACCCTATAAAGATGCTGTAAAAAAAGAACTAGATGCAATGTTGGATAAAGGTGTTATCGTGAGAGTAGACACTCCGACTGACTGGTGTTCACCTCTTGTCATTGTCCCTAAAAAGGACAATTCAATAAGACTTTGCGTAGATTTTACTAAACTTAATGAGAGTGTTAAACGAGAACTATATCCTGTGCCCTCTGTAGACTACACTCTGGGACAATTAGATGGTGCTAAGGTGTTCTCGAAACTAGATGCTAACTCGGGTTATTGGCAAATACCCATAACAGAAGAAGCTTCATATTTGACTACTTTCATCACGCCTTTTGGAAGGTTCAGATTTTTACGACTTCCTTTCGGGATTTCCACTGGTTCAGAAGTATTCCAGCGTCAAATGTCTGAATCACTTGAAGGCCTTCAAGGTGTTGTTTGCCATTTCGATGACATAACTATATACGGGAAAGATATGGAAGAACATGACAAAAATTTACATCGTGTTTTGTGTAGGCTCCAGGAAAAGGGCTGGACACTTAATAGATCAAAATGTGTGTTCCGGCATGACAGTATCAGTTTACTAGGCCACCTTGTAACTAAAAATGGTATTAAGCCAGATCCCTCTCGTGTTGAGGCTATCCAAAAACTCAAGACGCCAACTAATGTTAAAGAACTAAGGAGAATTCTAGGTGTTGTCAATTACGTAGCCAAGTTTATTCGTAATTTGTCGACCATAGTTCATCCACTACATGCTTTACTGCAAAGAAATACAGAATTTGTTTGGGGGCCTGATCAAGACCAAGCTTTGGAAAAGATTAAACTGTCATTGATGTCCGAACCGTGTCTCGCTTTATACAGCATTTCTAAAGAAACCTTCCTCTCAGCGGATTCCTCGTCATACGGTATTGGAGTTGCACTACTTCAGCTTCAAGAAGATGGAACTAAACGTCCGGTGGCCTATGCTTCGAGAAGTTTGTCATCAGCCGAACGTAATTGGGCTCAAATAGAAAAAGAAGCTCTAGCGATTGCTTGGGGGTGTGAACGGTTTGAACACCTCATTTTAGGGTTGCATTTGCATATTGAGACAGACCATAAGCCCTTGCTCTCCATATTCAAGATAAAAGACTTGGACAATATTACTCCCAGGCTTCAGAGAATACGACTCCGACTGATGAGATATACGTATGACATTACCTACACGCCCGGTAAACAGTTGATTTTGGCTGATGCACTGTCTCGAGACACAGAGAACTCTGAAGAGGAATGGGAACTTACAGAGGAAATCCTTGCTTATATACAAAACATTGACACTACTCTACCAACAGTTTCGGATGAAAGGTTGCGAGAAATAAATCAAGAAACTATGAAAGATGAAACTCTAAAACATGTGTCACAGTATTGTGTGAAAGGTTGGCCAGAAAAATCTAAGATTCCAGAGGATGTATTGCCCTACTGGTATCACAGAGAAGATATAAGTGAGCAAAATGGTATACTTCTCTTTGGAAGTCGTATTATAATACCAAATTCTCTAAGAGCTAATGTACTAAGAAGTATTCATGAAGGACATCAAGGCATAACAAAATGTAGATCTTTTGCAAAATTGACTGTATGGTGGCCTCGTCTTTCTCAACAAATCAAAGAACTAGTAGAAAATTGCAAGACATGTGCAGAAAATCGCGCTACGAGAGCAGAGCCGCTGATACCAACCCCTTATCCGGATAGACCTTGGCAAATAGTGGGTGCCGATTTGCTGAAGTGCAAAGGTCACTGGCATCTCTTAATCTCAGACTATTATTCCAGGTTTATGGAGATTGCTAGACTAAATGACTTAAAAATGGACACTATTGTGACATATACAAAGTCCATCTTCGCACGTCATGGTGTACCTGAGACAGTGAGAGCAGACTGTGGTTCTCAATTTAACTGCTGTCAATTCAAACAACTTGGTCGTGATTATGGATTTAAATTGATTACATCAAGCCCAAAATTTCCACAAAGCAACGGCTTCATAGAAGCGCAAGTAAAAAACTTTAAGTACCACTTAGAAAAAAGTTATGATCCCTACAAAATGCTACTTATGTTAAGAGCAACCCCTCTGGAAAATGGGAAAAGTCCAGCGGAATTACTTTTCGGGAGAAGGATCCGCACTTATGTTCCGATAATGTCTGATCAACTAATACCCTATCTGGTATAGACACTGAAAAGTTAAGGAAAAAGGAAGAAGCAAGAATTGATCGTCAAAAGATTTATTTTGTCAAAAGACATAGAGCCACAGAATTGCCTACTCTACCTGATGGAGCTCAAGTCCATATAAAGGACAGGAATCAAGAAGGAACTATATTAAACAAACATCCTGCACCTCGATCCTATATAATTCAAACGCAAGATGGTTGTTTGCGGAGGAACAGAAGATCACTGCAAAGATTTAGCTCTACTATGCCTTCTGATCAACCAGCACTGCAGACCAGTCCCTCAGAAAACCTGAGAAGATCAGAACCATCGCAGACAAATCCTTTAGCGAATCTAAGAAGATCAACAAGACAATTCAAACCTACCCGGAGGTTCGATCTTTAAAGGGGAGATGTGTTGTTATTCATATGTGTTTGAAAACATATGGTGTTAGAATATTATTTGTTTAGTTGTTGGTAAACATTCTGAATCTGGTTTATTGTAAAAAGCTACCTAATAAAGTATTTGTCTTATTAAAATTATATTTTAATTTAACTTGCGATAACACTACACTACCTACTTATTATTCACACTAATTGACACTGTTCACAGGGACAAAACAAAGGAAGACGGAGGAGAATTGACTTTCGGATATACAAACAGATCCCATTTTAATGAAAAGTTTACGTTTGTTCCCGTCATCAAACCAGCTAAATTTTGGTCCTTCTATTTGGACGGGTAAGTAGGAGTTACAATTCTTTGCTAAACATATCACTATAAACTATCATATGTTTGATAAATGTGATAATAAATAATAATAAACCTTTTAGATGTGAATTGGTATCTGAAAATTTTTTTATTGTAGAATCACCGTCAATTCTAAAGACATTGGTATAGACAACGTCACAGCCATCGTTGACTCAGGAACTTCCCTCATCGTTGGGCCGCCAGACCAAATAAAAGCCATCAACGAGGCCATCGGGGCTACGTACAGCCTAGGACTTTACTTTGTAAGACAATTTTGTAAGAGTAGTGTAAATAAAAGGGTTACACTCCTTACCTATTTTAGAATTCCAAATCTTTATCCTTATCCAATCCCCTCCTAGGTCCTCTTTGTTCTTCCCTTCATCTCCTTATTAAAAAATGCCTGTCACAAAAGATTTATTCACATTGTATGATAAGATATAAAGTTAACAGTGAGCTAGGTTATTTCCCCGACAGCATGACTCGGTACTCTAGTTAATGAGTGTTTGTAAATGAGAAACGGTTCCAAAGTTCCAAATATTTGTTTCAGATTATAGAAAACTGTATCCTATTGCCAATTGTAGACCTATTAGGTACTTTTTTTGAAATTGTAATGGAGGAGATGAAACCAAATTGTATTGTTGTTTTGACTGAGCTTAATATGACAAAAGGTAATCTAGAAAGATTTAATAAAAAAAATCAATTCTCATTAACTTCCTAGTATTGCCGTACCATTACTTTAGGTGGAGGTGTGGTGATATTTTCAGAGGAGGGTTTGAAAAAACTAGGTCTTTAAATAAAAATAAAAACTGGAAGACCTTACAGAAGATAACATTTTTGAATGTTGTGTCTGTGTGGCAAATGCAATTAATTCAATTCAACATCCAATGGCAAACGTAAAATTCAAGTTTGTTCTTGTAGGAATATACAGTAAGCCTCAGATGCAAAAAATGGAATTTCTTAATAGATTAGATAGGTTTTTCAAAGCTCTAGTTGCTTTAAATGAGAAAAATTTTGTTATTGAGGGGGATTTTAAAATGAAGTTTTAAGTCTAAAACCAGAGAATCAGGATTTAAAGAATATTCTTGCTTATAATAGTTTTAGTTTTTCAGTAAATACGATAAGATTTTTTAGTAAAAAAAGTGATATTTTGTCAACATAAATTTTGAGCATTCAACATTTAATCCTTGCTGAAATTATGGCTTTTTAATTGTACCTGGTTAAAAAAACTGTGTGTGACTCCTCACGTTGTCAATTCAAAGCGACCTCTGCTGGGTTAAGGTAATTATCTTATGTTAGGATTTCTGTAAAATTATTTGTATGTATCGACTCTATTCATATATGTACATAAAGACCAAATAAAGATTATTGATTCTGATTCTGATACTGGTAATGAGAATGCCATTCATGTTTGGAAGAGTCAAAATGGCATATTTGTTATGTTCAAGGTGGATTGCAATAAGATAGACACTCTGCCAAATATAACTTTCACAATCAACGGAAGATCATTTAATCTGACAGGACAGGATTATGTCGTTGAGGTGAGTTACAGTGTGGTTATTGAGCTTGCTGGGTAATAAATAAGCTAAATTCAGTTATGAGTAAAGTCAGTGGCTTTTTGATGGTTAGAAGCTATTCTTGATCATTGAGCTTTACATAAAAGACCCTGGAACAGCTGGTCTTAAACAAGACTACTTACAGCATCTTTACCTAAAAGTAAACAACGAGGCCGGTTTTGCGTATAAATTCTTAGTTTGCTTGTATACCGCAACCAGGCTCCTCACCACTTACTGGCATCATTTGTGAACAGATTGATACAAATTGCAGCTCCGTGTAAGCTTCGCTGTGTGTTTTTAATATTTTCTAAGCCATTGAATCTCCTGCCGCGCCCAAGAAAGGTCAGTGATACGTTTTTTCATTACAAGATACATTTCTGATGCTGTAATTGTAATTCATCGCCAGATGCCTGGAGTTTATGACCCTGATGCAATGAAAGTGCAGAAATCGGCCAGGGAGCTAAGCAAATACGGCCCTTACTTAAAAAAAACTGCCCTCGTATTCCCAAGTTCCCTGGCAAAGTTGGTTGTAATTATATTTTGAGTGCCTAATGTTAACAATTGTTTTTTTTTATTATTTTTTAATGCACCCTGCTTCCCAGCTGCTCCCTTTTCATTTTCGATGTTCTCTTTAAATTTAACTGCTGTCAACATTTTGTTATTTTCATTTATTGTGGTACTTACCACGATTACTAGAAAAATATCAGTATGGATCATAAACATAAACAAATGACGTTTTTGGCCCGAAAATAAACATTATTTAACATTGCTTAAATGGAACTGCCAAAACATATGTTCAATGCTATTAGTATAGGATTCGGACCAACAACGTAATTTGTTTATGTTTATGATCCATACCGGTATTTTTCTAGTATTCGTGGTACTTACCCAGATTGTCATGTGTGTGCTAATCTTAAACTTGTGTTCTAGATTCCTTCCCACTTGAAGGTAGAATCAGATACCATATCCCAAATTGTTATGAATCTTGTATTTTCCTATTAAGTAATACAAAACATATACAAATTGCCTTTAAACCACTATATCTTTTTGTTTTGCAGATGAAAAGATTCGTCTTATTCAAAAGCTGCATAAGCGGGTTCATGGGAGTTGATGTCGGATCTCCACTGTTCATTTTAGGAAATGTTTTCATGCGGAGGGTCTACATTCAATTCAACACGGGCCATGGGTCAATTGGTTTTACCCATCTAACTGACTAGCCACCATGCCCATGATGGTTAAAACAAGATAGCCTATTTACTGAACTAAGGAATAAATAAGTATAACTATTGATAACAAGATGTAATATATTTTTATGGTAATAAATATTGTTTAACAAATGCTAATTTTATTACTATATTACCCAGAAGAAGATCTTTTCCAGGGGTCAGTCATGTAGTTTTCTATGTACATGGTCTTAGTACGCCTTATCTTGAGGAGCAATTGGTCATCTTCGTCTGGGTCTTCCTTTACTGAGAGAATTTCAATGCGAGATATTGAGAGAAATTCAGGGTTCATCGGACTGACACCCTTGATCACATCCACTTCATCTCCTTCTTTGAGCTGATTAATAAAAATAGTTTAAATACTTTATTGAAATTAATTACTGTATAATCAATACAAATACTTTAGTAAATACTTTAGTAGGAAATCATGCTATTTATTGTTTGGAAATTTGGAATCTAGATTGTTATTAAGCTGTTAAAATCTATACTAGTATATCAAAATCTAATGGTGTCAGTCTGTATGCCTATTACTATGAAAATTCCGCCGCCGCAGCAAACCTGCGGACTAAGCAAATTTCCATTTGTTTGAATTTATTTTCAATCAAATCAATTTAAATAAGATGAGGTTTAAAGAGTACCTAGGTTTGCTGCTACAAGAAAACTAGTAAAGTAAGTTTTTTTAGTGAAATTTGTGTAGCTTCTTAGTATAAATTAAATAAATTTGCCAAGTTTGATCGATATATATCAATAAATAAGCAAACCCCTATCTCCCCCATGCTATAGCTGTGGCTTTTTGCCATTCTAAGGCTCCGGTTGCCCCTCTAGATTTCTTCATTGCAACATGTATAGCCTATGCTAGTCCTCCTAGGCCCCCAGGTACTACTGGTATTTATTTAAGGTAGAAATCATAAACATTTAATCGGCCACTGTACAACTAAACACAAACCAATGACTGTTTAATAATTTTATAACTGCCTTTTTACTTTGGGCTCTAGGTACTGTAGCTGTAATAAGACAGTGGAATTGATAACAAAAAAACCAATAACAATATTATGTTTATACTGACAATTTTAAACACGGCAGTATACGTTTATTTCGTTGTACAAGGTTGGCAACGCTCCGTGCAGTGGGCGCGACTTCCAGAGTTAGCGAATTACGCCGCAGGACAAAATCGAGTTATCAGGTTATAGGTTAGCCAATTCCTGACTGAAACGCTTAGCCAGTTCTGCCACCCGATCGAGTTAGTGAGTTCCAATTCATGAAGTTTTGTAGTTTTATTGTCTGCTCAACAAAGCTTTAACATTATTGAATCTCAAAAACCTTATTTTTTATCCTTAATTATTTTTTTCAAATATAAAGATTTACTTCATAGAGATTACGGTATGGAAAATCTCCTGTACAGCAGTCAAATATACATTTATAAAAATTAAACCTACAGTATAGATGAAAGAAGGACTTAAAGTTAATATCTCCCATGCCTTCTGCTGTTTGTTTGGCATAGTCAATCATAATCTTAGAAATAAAAACTTAAAATCTATTTGATTAAATACAATTTAATATTACTTGGTGGTTCTTCTTGGATGGTTTGACGCCATTAACTCTGAGACTGCCTTCATAAAACGCTGCCTCTGCTTTGCTGGAATGTGAAAAAACAAAATGAGTTTAAATGTGTGATTTTAAAATGTTACCACATATAAACAGATATAAGTTGTATTGTCTTTTTAGGTAATATATATATACTAGCAGAGTACCCGTCCTTCGTACGGGGTTGGCATATAGGAATTAAATGCTAATTGCAGTTAAGCTCAAGCTTTGCGTTTTCAATGGAGGGGACACAGTTTTATCAAATTTGCTTCTTTAAATTTACTGTACATTATACATAGTATTAGTGATAGTCAAAAGCAGAAATTTCGAATCTCAAAACCAAAACTTAAAAAATCGAATCCCGAATCTCAAAACTTGAACGCGAAACTTGGTCAAGGTTGCTAAAAAATAAAAAATACAGGTAATAATAACATTTTCATTATGATTATGAGATTATGCGAGCAAAACTGAAAGAGATTATGAGTAGATACTCATAAGGTTAACATGGGGAACTACAGAGCCACTGGGGTGGAGCCCGAAAGGATTTTTGAGATAAGAATATGCCTATATGTTAATCGGGAATGTGAGCTATCATCGTGCCAAATTTCAGCCCAATCTGTCCAGTAGTTAATGTGTGATTGAACTTCAAACAAACACACAATCATTCACATTTATAATATTATAGTAAGACTAGCTGACCCGGCGAACTTCGTATCGCCTAAGTTATAGGTTTCCCCTAAGACAGACCGATGGAAAGAAAGTACCGTTACGTTTAATTTTCAAGATGATCTCGTTCGCATCGCTCAATCACGTCCTGGTTGAAGTTCGGTCGCTACGCTCACTCACCTTTGGGTTGGAGCTCGTTCGCTACGCTCACTCACCTTTTGGTTGCAAATTAGCTGTTAAATAATAGTGCTGCACCCTGTTGGTAATCCTTGTAACTTTAATGCTATTGAACATCATAGAACAGAACCAACTTGTTTAATTGAAACAGCTGTTAAGATTCATTAGTTCCATTTCTCATAAGGTTAACATGGGAAACTCCAGAGCCACTGGGGCGGAGCCCTTTTAAGAATTTTGAAACGGGAAATAGTTTACGTCCGATTCGCATACCTACAGAATTTACACACCAAATTTCATAACGATCGGTGAAGTCGTTCCGGAGGAGTTTGCAGACAAACACTGTGACACGAGAATTTTATATATTAGATATATTCTAGTAATATTATTTTGTACAAATTATTAGTCACATGGGTTACCCTACCTTGAATTATTGTTCAAAATTGTTTATATAATACAACTAAGCAGGCCCATTTTTATGAACAGGCAGACTGGGCATATGCCCAGGGGCGCCGGTGGTCTAGGGGCGCCCGCTGGGTGCCCCAAAACCACCGCCTACCAGCACTAGGTCAAAAGAGGGGCGCTGCTCTTGGGTTTGCCCAGGACTCCACTGACCCTTAACACGGCCCTGCAACTAAGGAACATTTTTAATAGTAATCTTTATGACTATTAATTAGATATACATAATTTCTTTGAATAGGCCTATAGACAAATTCACTTTGAAAAAACACATAGAGATAATGTCATCCTCCAAATTGTAAAATGCAAAATCTCTCTGTTTTATAGTATCCATATTGGTCGATTCCTCGGTCTTTATTTGGTTCTAGTAGTATTTTAACATGATCTGACCGCTTTACCCGGCTAAAAGTAACATAAAGTTGACCACTGGGTTGACACTGGTTTTTTTCAAATAAATGCCAACTTTTGTGAAGGTTTGGCCTTGCGCTTTATTTATAGTAATAGCGAATCACAATGGGAATTGAATCCTTGTAAACTTAAACGGCATATTAGGATCTGTATATATTAGTTTTATTTTTGGCATGAAAAATATGTTTCCTTTACCAACTCCAGTAATTCCTTCTAACTTTACGCTTTTTTCAGACATACCTAACTCAACCAATCGTAGTCCATTAACTAATCCAGACCATTAAAATTGGGAAAATGTCTTATTTCAGCTTTTTATAATAGTATACATATTACAAATTACCATATGCCAAATAAATTAAATCACATGTTTTAAAGTAAACAAAGCAGACATTGCCTAGATTCCCATTCTACTTAAATGTGAATTAATTTATTCCTTAACAACCTTTGGGTGCAAAATTAAGAAAAATTAATAATTTTCCCTAACATTTCATGCCCAGACCTTGGGCTAAAAAAATTTTTCTAAAATTTTGGGCTTACGGAATTAGATATCTATAACCTATATATTTAATACGCGACATGAAACTTTGTGAATAATAAGGCTTTTTTGTTTTAAGATTTAACCCCACATATTATATACCAAAATGTTCGTCTAGGTGTGTAGATGTGCAAACTGGCTTTAGATTTTCGAAATATACCTTTTTAAGGACGTGGGCTGCCCTCAAAGTTCCTTCCATAAGGATAACATTATGATTGATTTGAATGTTATTATATTCTGAAACAGATGTCAATACGTTAGTTTAAAAAAATTAAATCCCAGCTGATTTGTTTGGTTTTGAAATGTAAACAGTTTGCATGTTTTTAAAAATAAATTAGAAACCCGACAAAGAAATGTTACCTATAGGACACGACGGGAGAAAAGTTTTACATTATATTTTCATTTAAACATGCCAAGGCAGGGCCGGTTTAACCCATACGCGAACTACGCGGTCGCATATGGCGCCACAAAAAAGTGGCGCCAACGGGACACAATTTTTTTTCATAAGACAAAATTGGAAACAACTTTACTGACAAGTAAACAACTTAATTTTGTTTTTTTTTCACTCAGAGTTCAAGTATCCAAAGCACCACAGCAAAGGCATTTATACTGTTTGTACCAATAGCAATTGAAAAATGTGTATACTTGTACAGCACTTCAAAAAATTCAACTCAAGGCATTGATTTGCAGTTTTTGATTTGTAGTGAGCTGACGCTCGGCAGCGTGTACAGCGCGGCGCCTGTGGGTTTCATTTCATGACTCACGCTCGAGATAAGCGCGCAGCGCCACTTTTGTCACAACAAGAAACTTCCCCCTCCCTTCTACCCCTGATCAAACTACCCTCCTAGAGCAGAGCACTGAGCAGTGAGCAGTACGTTGTATTGCACTCTTAGTTGTATACCGTATCGTATTGATATTGTTTTGATAATTGTTGATAAAAGTAATGATTACGAGTGTTTTTAGTTTTGTTCCAAGGTTTATTGCGGACATTTTCCATCACGAATGTAAAAAACAATACACAACGTTTCGGGATCTGGAATCTGATCCCGTCTTCAGGTGAAAAAACTTAACTAACACATTACAACTAACAATACACAAACGCCCAACCTAAGTTGGAATACACTACAGAGGGTAGTAGTCAAAAAATATGCACTGTATAGCAGTTAAGTCATGATACAACATGCAATTAATAACAAATCACAAAACACCATAATCTATAAAAGGTTTAACGTAAAGAGCTCACACAATGGAACACTTAAAGCACCGTACGCAAAGACTCCACCAATGAGACTGAACCAACATGGCTGACCAATCGGAAACACGGAGACAACAGGAATGGCTTCCGGTCCCTGGAAAAGTAAAACCAACAAAATGGCGGAGCGATGTACGATGCCGCAAGATGGGTGTTAATTATGTTTATTCCTATCACGAGTTTTACTACGAGTTAACATAACGTGCGTATTTTGAGGAGAACTCGTTATTTCCCTATTTATTGAACAATTAAGTTCCTTATCCTTTAGTTCCTTGTTCAAAATGGGTAGCCAAAGTGGCCTTATTTCAACAACTACAACTTTTTTACAACTCTGCGCTCGCAATGGTCAGCACTCGAGCTAAAATTGAACATAACGATGGAGGGCCTTTCATGTATAAGGTGCACGAAACAATTTATCACTCAATTGGCACCTTTCAACCGTCAGAAGAGGAGCATCCCAAGTATGCCAAAGTTTATATCTACGACGTCGACACCGCTGTTCAAGAAAGAATGCTAAACAAAGCTAATGGCTCTTGCAGCACTGAACTCATGCACATTTTGACTCGACATTTGGTTTATATTAATCCAAACCGCAAATTTTCAGCATGATGAGCTCCGTCCTGCAAAATAATCCTACTGAACAGCAAAAAGAACTTAGAATGCATATACAATGCATATAGAATGCATAACGATCGAGCTCGAGACCAAAGTCGATACAACGATGCAACTTCTAACGACGTTGCTATAATATCCTAATTTATTATTCGTGCGAATTCGCACGGGTTCAACTAGTATAATATAATTAATACGCGAACTCGAAGTTTGTCGGTTGAACTCCTCCGCCATTTCTTAACCAATTTTATCCATTGTCGTCTCATTGGAAAGAGTGTGTCGGGTAGATTTGCAAACTGGCCTTACATTTTTGAAAATGTCCCTTGGGCTCTGCCCCAGTGGCTTTGAAAGTTCCCATGTTATCCTTATGAAGAACATAATTGTTTACCTTTTGATAAGCTGTATAATTTAATTGCTGTTATCTATATATAAAGCCAAAAGTACCGATGAACTTTTGAGAAAACTACAAGTCACGCCCCCATAAACCATATACTTAAAATGTTCGTCATGACGAGAAACCTTGCGCAAAACTATCCATTATTATCATAAATTGCCCGTTAAGGTCGTAATTCCTTTCTAAAGGGAATTTTTTATATACCTAATGTTAAAAATACCTCAGCTGTACTTATTTGTTTGTTATTCATTTATTAAAATCAGGTGTGATTATTTGTTTCTATTACTGTATTTTGTTTATTTCAGGTTAACTTAACCAATCAATAGTTTTATTAATACTTATGATGTCAAACGAGGTGAAGCCCGTGGGTAACAGCTAGTTTATTGAGCGAAGCTCTTATACGTCGACTCTTATGCATTTCGTAATACGCAAACTCCTCCTAGACGGCTGAATCAATCGTTTTCAAATTTTGCATGGTGATAAAGACCATATCGGTGAGTGCCAACATCTATATGGCGTTAAAAAAGTCTCTCAGGAATCCGCCCCACTGGGTCTCAAAGTTTCAATGTAATCCTTATGGAATCAGTATTTGACACATAAACAAAGACATATGATCAGCTGTTTACGTACGTAAACCTACGTAAGAACACCTTTAATTTGACACATCAAACGTTAAAATCCGTCCAGCGGTTATCGAGTTATGGCTGTGAAAAGAAAACTGCTTGCGTATTAATATATAGATTCCTATATGCCAACCCCAACCGAAGGACGGGTACTCATAATGCGGTTTACATGATATTTTTGTTTTGTTGAATGAAAAACTCATAAAAACTTCGTTTTTATCTTAAAAATAGTTGAGGCATGATGTTGAGCCCCATAAGTCAATACCATATTGTATAATGTAATAATAGGTTGGGCCTCCCTTTGAAGTAAGCACGTGCCTTCTCAACAAAAATCTGCATAACACTGATAAAATCGCTGAAGTGTGTACCGCAAAAGATCCACCAACACGATTATAATGCTATTTAAAGATCCTTCCAAAAGCATTCTTTATATTATATTCATCAGAAAGAAGATAAACCAGTTAACATAGGGAAACCCAAGACGGTATAAGAAATATGTTATTCATGACTGAACAACCATATTTTCTAACTAATGCAATAGTCATTATTGTTTCTACATACACTATTTATTTCTCATTAAACATTGCTAAATGCTCATATTTTTTATAATTTTACTCATTTTGTCGCAGTTGGAAGAATTGTTGCAAGCCTTTATAGCAACCGTTGATTTCGACAGGTTTCACCTAATTGTAATAGGTTGCCCTAGGTCAAGTAATCATGAAAAACCTTTGATAAGGCTGACTGTAAATAACTAGCTGTTGAACTGTTCATTGTTGTTGGATATTTTTAGTTAACTGTTATTATAGTTCACATGTATATGGTTGTGTTGTTTGTAGAAATAAAATCTGTTTATCCAAATTTTATTTTTCACCAAATTTATAAAAATGTTTTAATTTTTAAACCTTTTCAAATTTCTTATACTTCTCTTTTGCCATGCTTACCGTACCCCTTCCATTTTAATGCTTTAAATAAAAAAATATGGTGATACTTGGAACTCACTTTCTTGCTATTCCTAGGACTTTTTTCACAAGCCCATCCACTCTCATTGACTGAGTTTTTATAAATATTGGTTTAGTCGCTCTAGATTCCCCTTCATCATTGTCCTCTCCATCTGAATCTGAATCATATTCAGGTCCCTGTAAAGTTAGAAAATATTATAATTAGTGATTTTACCTAAATTGTGGATATTTATAGGCATGTACTGTGGATGCGATACTCCCTTGTGTGGATTAACTTCCACACTAGTAAGTACTACGACTATCCACAGTACTATCCTGATAATTAGACAATTCGCTAATACCAAGGCAGAAATGTGGTTTGGATTCCACTATAAACTGTAGGCCTTAGTTGTCATTTATTTATTTATTTATTTATTAAAATATCACATAACGCCTAAGGAGTGCTTCTGCACGCAGGCAGGTAAATTGTCAAAATATACCAGTGTACTAGTATACAAAGAACTCATTAGCTGTATAGGCTATTCATTAACAGCTGTGTCTAAGGAATATGTCGGCCTTAGTCACTAACAAGACTAAAGATCACGCCACTCATTCTACACTAATTCCTTTCATACTTGGCTTAAAATACCTATGTTTATGGTCGCCATTTAAATGAAAAGTATTAAAGTACCAAACAGAAATTATATTATTTATTAAAGTTGAGAGAAAAGTAGGTACATGAGTAGGCGTCACCGCCCCAGAACTACTTGGATTGTAAATACTACATGGGCTGTTCAAATAGTAACCTCCGTTTGCTTCTTGCACGGGAAGTGGAGGGGATAGCGCCGCCATTCTTTCGCTTGCGTGCGTCGCAGGTCAGTCGTCGTCCAGCCAGGGATGTGTTGTCTGAGTGCTATTTTTGCCGTCACTAGTCAAAACGAGTACTGCAATCAAAAATCCCGCAAAATGTGAAATGCGTGCTGTGATTCGGTTTTTCTTAGTTAAACAGTATTTGGCAGCAGCTATTCATAGAGAACTTTGTGCTGTGTAAATAGACTTAAAATTATTAGTGCAGGAGTTGGGGCGAGAATATGGGTTCATCCGGGAATATGGGTTCATTTAGTTCATTAGTTTAAAAATGGTTAAACGAACATGCATTATGAAGAAGGCAGGCCATCTGTGTGTTTTTTTATAGCAAATTTCTCATATAGGGAATAAGCTATTACTGTAGTACCTGGACCCGGGACCGATTTACTTTTTTGTTTTGAGGTCCCTAGACGCAAAAAACACCATCCGTTCAAATTCATATATATCTACGTATATATATATATATGTGTGTCCGTTAGCTCCAGCAAAAATGATCCGATATTGATGAAGTTTGGTATAAACGCGTAAACCTACATTTATTCAAATGATTCGCGAACCAGCATGATCCGATTATGGGATCGGGGGTTTATGGGGGGTTTTATGGGGTTAAAATTTGTTATTCCAATTTTTGACCCAAAAAACATAAAATTTAGCAATTTCTTTCCAAGAGCTTAAAAAAACAAATATTTTAGTATATTGAAGCGTTATGCGCCAAATGGTTACAGAGAAAATTAAAAAAAAATAGTAAATTTAAAATTTCCATGTTATTCTCATGGAGAGAATAGACTGTTGTACCGATAGTTTGCTTGTTTATGAACATATTTCGATAAAATTTGGAAATGCATTCATATCTTACTGTAGTAAACTATTAACATTTGACAAAAAATAGTATATTTCATTACTAGGACCGAAAGTGGCATTTTCCATCGTGCGCTCAGGTTTTTGGGTGAGGCGAAGCCGAACACAGGGTACCCTAATGTCACGTACGAGGCGAATAATGGAGCAAGTGCCGGATAATAACTTTCGGTACGAGTTATGAACGATACTTTTCATCACGACACAAAAATACACAAACACAGATTAGCAGACCTCAGTAATATTACAACAATTTTATTTCTCAATTAATTTGATTGAACATAAAAACTAATTGAGAGCGAGGGAAAATCAGCTGACCGATTTTTCTTACTACTTTCATTGATGTCAGCTGTTATTGAAAATAGTTACTTTCGTTAAGGAGTGATGAAAAAAAACTTTTTCATCCCCCCTATTGCAGCAAACTTAAGTACTCATTAAACTTATTATATTTAAATAGGGAATAAATGTGATATTTTTAAGGAGACATTTTAGTGTAAATCCAATTAGGCAAATGGAAATTTGCTTAGTCTACAGGTTTGCTGCGGCGGGGGTATTTTTTTCATGGGGAGGAGAATGCTGCTTACTCCTAATGCTGCCCAGAAAACCTCCATAGGTATATTATTATTTCTTTTTTTACGCTTAACAAAATGGTTCGGAAATAAACTGTGAAATTTTGTGTTTTTAGGGTCAAAATATCTAATGGGAAAACCCAATTTTAACCCTATAAACCCTATTCCCTATTCCAATCATGCAGGTTCGTGAACTCGTTCAAATAAACGTAATTTTACATGCTTTTACCGAATTCCGGTCCGTGACGTAGGAAGTAGTGAAGGAAGTAGTAAAGGCGAGCTGTTTGGGGTATGGGATCTGTTTATGACCAATAGATTAAGGTATTTGCAATCCTAAAATGATATGGAAAGGGAGGGAAACAGGTCCGTGACGTAGGAAGTGGTGAAGGAAGTAGTAAATGCGAGCAGACCGGAGTGTGGGAACTGTTTATGACCATTACATTAAGGTATCTACAAACCTAAAATGCTATGGGAAGGGAGGAAAACAGGTCCGTGACGTAGGGAAATGGTGAAGGAAGTAGTAAAGGCGAGTTGTCCAGGGTGTGGGATCTGTTTATGACCAATAGATTAAGGTATTTTCAATCCAATAATGCTAAGGGAAGGGAGGTAAACAGGTCCGTGACGTAGGAAGTGGTGAAGGATGTAGTCAAGGCGAGCTGTCCGGAGTGTGGAAACTGTTTAAATGACGATTAGATTAAGGTATCTACAAACCTAAAATGCTATGGGAAGGGAGGAAAACAGGTCCGTGACATAGGAAGTAGTGAAGGAAGTAGTTAAGGCGAGCTGTTTGGGGTATGGGATCTGTTTATGACAAATAGATTAAGGTATTTGCAATCCTAAAATGATATGGAAAGGGAGACCGGAGTGTGGGAACTGTTTATGACGATTAGATTAAGGTATCTACAAACCTAAAATGCTATGGGAAGGGAGGAAAACAGGTCTGTGACGTAGGAAGTGGTGAAGAAAGTAGTAAAGGCTAGTTGTCCGGATTGTGAGATTTGTTAATGACCAACAGATTAAGGTATTTTCAATCCAATAATGCTAAGGGAAGGGAGGTAAACAGGAAATGGTGAAGGAAGTAGTGACGGCGAGTTGTTCGGAGTGTGGGAACTGTTTATGACGATTAGATTAAGGTATCTGCAATCCTAATATGCTATGGAAAGGGAGGGAAACAGGTCCGTGACATAGAAAGTGGTGAAGGAAGTAGTAAAGGCGAGCTGTCCGGAGTGTGGGAACTGTTTATGAAGATTAGATTAAAGTCTCTGCAATCCTAAAATGCTATAGAAAGGGAGGGAATCAGGTCGGTGACGTAGGAAGTGATGAATAAAGTAGTAAAGGAGAGTTGTTCGGAGTGTGGGATCTGTTTATGACCAATAGATTAAGGTATTTGCAATCCAATAAAGCTAAAGGAAGGGAGTGAAACAGGTCCGAGACTTAGGAAGTGGTGAAGGAAGTAGTCAAGGCGAGCTGTCCGGAGTGTGGGAATTGTTTTTGACGATTAGATTAATGTATATACAATCTTAAAATTCTAAGAAGAGTTGAAGTAAGTAGTAAGGTGAGCAGTGTGGAGTGTGGGAACTAAAAACCATTTGTAGCAGTTAGATTAATGTATCTGTAATGCTGAAATGCTATGAGAAGGGATGGAAGCATGCCACGACATAGAAAATGGTGAAAGAAGTAGTAAAGGCTAGCAGTGCGGAGTGAGGGCAATGTTTGTTACAATTAGATTAACGTATCTAAAATACTTAAATGCTATGTAAAGTGGTGAAAACAGGTCCACGATGTAGGAAGTGGCTTAGGAAGTAGTAAAGTATGAGCATAGTGTGAGAACCGTCTGTGGCAGTTAGATTAATGTATTTTCAATCCTAAAATGCTATGAGAAGGGAAGGAAACAGCCCCCACGACGTAGGATGTGGTGAAGGAAGTAGTAAAGGCTGGTAGTGCAGAGTGGGGAACCGTTTGGGCAGTTGGATAAATGTTACTTAAATGCTATGAGAAGGAAAGGAATCAGCTCTATGACGTAGGAAGTGGTGAAGGAAGTAGTAAGGCTTGCTTGCAGTGCAGAGTGTGGGAACTGTCTTTGGCAATTACATTAATGTATCTGCAATCCTAAAATGCTATATGGGAAGAGAGGGAAACAGGTCCACGACGTAGGGGGTGGTGAAGGAAGTAGTAAAGGTGAGCAGTGTTGAGTGTGGGAATGGTGTATCTGCAATGCTAAAATGCTATGGGAAGAGACTGTAGACTGTAGGTTAAAATTATTACGAAGCACGAATCGATACATATTTCGATACATGCAATCGTTTACAATAGAAATTTACAACTGAGTTGACAACAGCTGATTTTTACTCCATAGAGGCTAAAAACGATTTTACTCCCTAAAGAGTAAAAATACTACTTTAGACCCGCAACGCATGCATTAAAAGACTGTTTTTACTGCAGTATGACAAAAACAATATAATATGAACCCTTGATGACTCCGCTCAATTTTGTGGATGCCTCTGCGATTGCCACCTAGTTAGAATAGTACTGCACGGATAGTTGTAGTTTACTCACTAGTGGTTAATCCACACCAGGGAGCATCGCATCCACAGTGCATCCCTATAAATATCCACAATTCGTGATCTCCTACTCGTGACCACAGCTACTCGTGAATAAGTAGCTGGATTACAGGACGACGCCACCCGTCCCAGTCATAAATATATATGTGTTGTAATGGTCAAATTTTATTGGGAGGGTTAGTTTCAATTATTTTAAGGCCGCGAAGGCTCGAGCGCGTTCGACAACAATGTCAAACATGTCCACGGCAAGTCAAGTCTCCTAGTTTGTGACTTGGCCGCTGCGACCTCGGGGCGCTGACGTAGACGTGGTGGGGAGAAGCGGAGACCAGCGGACAGTGGACATTTC